CCTTTTCACCAAAGATGGTGCTAGGGCTAACACTCGGAAGGTGTACCGAGATAGCATGAAGAAACCAAATTGAAGGGGTTTAGCCTATGACACTTGTAGGCTATCTTCACTTAGTGATGGCGCCGTAACCTGATTTTTTGCATACATCTAAGAAGCTGAATTAATACTTGATAGGGGAAAGGGGCATATTAGGACACTGCTCCAAGGCTACATTCAGGTTGGACACGGCTATTGTGGGGCAAAGGCCACCTGATATCCGTCCGATATCTAGCTGGTTAATGAAGGAATAGGATCTTATTATTGTCAATACCTCTTCATAAACAGCTGTTGGGTAGTAAACTGGCACCAAAGTAGAGCGCAGCTTGAGCAGCGGATTGGTGGTCTCTAAGTGGCAGCTGCCGTTGCAGCTGCAGTAGCGATAGCTGTGGTGGTAGGCAGCGGTGATTTGGTAATCACATAGTAACGGTAGGTAGCAGTGGTAGCAGGGAGTGGTATCCGGTAATGACAGGCAGTAATAGTAGGTAATAGTGGTAGGTGGTGGCAGTGGTTATGAAGAACAAATAGGAGTGGTAGTGAGCAAACAGTGGCAGTATGAGTAAGCAATTATGCAGTAAGTAGGCTGTAGTAATCAGTCAGTAATGCTAGGTACTAGTGATAGGTAGGCAGCGGTGGTATGCGGTGTTGGTTATTCATGGTAAACAGGGTGGTAGTAAGTCAACAGTAGTGATAGTAAGAAGTGGCAGTAGGAAGTAGCAGTCAGTCAGTAATTGTAGGCAGGGATGAGTGGATAGGTACGTGTAGGTAGATGTGCGTGTTCAATACATTTAGCACCCCTGATTATAGGGTAGGCAGTGGTAGTTATTAATAGCAGTCAGGAATGACAGTAGGTGGTAGTGGTTAGGGAGGTGCACTCGCGTGAGGGAATCACTTCGCTTAGCTAATCAGCGCTGCCGCCTACCTGTCGTATATACACATCATGCATCAAGTAAAATCACAAGGGTGGTCGAGGTAGGTCTGCACTACCTAGCAGTCTATCAATGAAGAAAAAGAACAAATCTTCCATATTGAGACACAGCTGATGGCGAAGACGCATCTTCTATTATACATCTATCCTCAAAGACCAATCAGCGCTTTTTGGCCCCTCAGAAAATTGGAATAGACAGCACCCACTCTTCCAGCCTTTAACCCATCTATGCGACGAAGCTCTTGGTGAAGCTGGTGGCGACGTCCTTCAGCTTGGCCTCGAGCTCCTTGCTGAGAGCACCTTCCCGGTCAATCTGGGCGAGCATGTCGGACTCGTTTGATCGGAGGTGGGCCAGGAAGTCAGTTTCCCACTGGAGGATCTTGTTGGTTGGCACGCTGTCCAGGAGACCGTTGATACCGGCGTAGATGAGGGGAACCATCTCGTTGACGGCCATGGGGGAGTACTGCTTCTGCTTGAGGAGCTCCGTCAGACGCTCACCACGGCTGAGAGTCTGCTTGGTGGCGGCATCCAAGTCGGAACCGAACTGTGCGAACGCAGCGACCTCACGGTACTGAGCCAAGAAGAGCTTCAGCGAACCGGCGACCTGCTTCATGGCCTTGACCTGGGCAGCGGAACCGACACGGGAGACAGACAGACCGACGTTAATGGCGGGACGGATGCCCTTGTAGAAAAGTTCTGCTTCCAGGAATATCTGTCCGTCCGTAATCGAGATAACGTTCGTCGGAATGTACGCAGAAACATCGCCACCCTGCTCAATTGTTAGTCTTCTGCATTCAACACTGGAAAAGGGAGCTTCGACTTGTGTCTCGATCAGCGGCAGGGCAGTAAGAGAGCCACCACCGAGCTTGTCGTTCATCTTGGCAGCACGCTCGAGGAGACGAGAGTGGAGGTAGAAGACGTCACCAGGGTAAGCCTCACGACCCTATGTCACAGTTAGCGAACGATTTCCAGCAGCAATAGGAGTGGGGGTACGGACAGGAGGACGACGGAGCAGCAGGGACATCTGGCGGTAGGCGACAGCCTGCTTGGTGAGATCGTCGTAGATGATGAGAGCATGCTTGCCGTTGTCGCGGAACCTATAATATAGTTTGTTAGCTGACGTTTGTTAAAATTAAACATAGAAGCGAGAAGATAACTACGCTATAAGAAGCGTAGAACTGGAGTCTCCATTTCCATAGAGTGGTTCCGAAGTGGTGTGGTGTAGTAGTAGTCCATGTCACTTCGGATGTCGGCTCAAAGATCTTCCGATATTCGCACAGACCACTTAGACCGTCAAATCAGAGAAACACATACCATTCTCCCTGCAATCGCGTCAGCAACCAAATTTCAAGTATTTTGATCAAAACTCACCATAGAGCATCCAGTGAATGGTGCCAGATATTGGAGAGGCGCAGCTTCTGAGGCCGTTGCGGCGACTACAATAGTGTACCTCATGGCATCGTTCTCCTCAAGAGTCTTGACGAGCTGGGCAACGGTGGATCGCTTCTGACCAACGGCAACGTAGATGCAGTAAAGCTTCTTGGTCTCGTCGGTACCTACACCTCGTTAACTTAATTCTAAGAAGTTTATGAAGTTTTACATACCCTTGTTCCACCTGTTCTGGTTAAGCATGGCATCAAGAGCGACGGCAGTCTTTCCGGTTTGACGGTCACCAATGATCAACTCACGCTGACCACGTCCAATGGGAACCATGGCGTCGACAGACTTGAGACCAGTCTGGACAGGCTGGTTGACGGAGCGGCGGGGCAGAATACCGGGGGCCTTGAGCTGAGCACGGCGGCGCTCGGTGGTCTTGAGGGGACCCTTTCCGTCAATGGGGTTACCGAGAGCGTCAACGACACGTCCGAGAAGAGCCTCGCCGACGGGAACGTCGACAATCTGACCGGTACGCTTGACAGTCTCGCCCTCCTTGACCAAACGGTCAGAACCGAAAAGCACAACACCGACCTGGCCGGCTTCCAAGTTCATGCACATGCCCTTGACACCGGAGGCGAACCTGAGCGACTGTTAGTTCGCGTTGGAAATAGTACATAGTGTGGACTTGGCGTACTCGACAAGCTCCTCAGCCTGGACATTGTTCATGCCGTGGACACGGGCAATACCGTCACTGACCCTGTATTAGCATGTATTGCAACGGTGTGTTTCCCCAGCGTACCCAACGGAAAGCACACGTCCAGTCTCGGAGAGGCTGGTCTCCTCCTGGACGCCGCGGATCCTCTGCTCCAGAATGGAGGAAACCTCGGTGGGGGTGGCCTTAGCATCGGAGGCGTAGAATCGGGTGGCGTTGGTGAAGGCGGGAGCGCGAGTCTATCCACAGAAAAAAAGCCGTCAGCACTGCATCTTGAGGCAGAGGGGAGCTTCCTTGGTCCCGCCGCAACACTGCGCAGCCCGCCCAATTCCATCAATGAAGCTGCATTGCAGGGCCAATGGCATCGGATATCGGTTCTATGGGTCCCTGGCGATGGCTGGATGTGCGGCAGGTGCCATTGCGGGAAGTTGCGATGGACTTACCGAAGCAATCCTGCTCGTGGCAGAGATTGCAGCGACCCGGCGGCTCGACTGGCGGATGGCCCTTGAGAACATGGCTGCAGCTGCTCAAGAGACTATTTCGGTAGCTCTGCAACCAATTGAGATTGATGCAGGTGTAGAAGAGGGGAGATTGTGATGGAGTGAGGATGGGAGCTCTGCTGTGATGAAGAAAGTCCTGCGGTTCGGGAGGAAAGCGCGGACCTTGGCGTCCACCACTAATCCTAAAAAAGACGCACCTCAACCGAGCTCCAACTTTACCACGACATCGACACTTGAATCTGGAGCGCGTTTGTGGGCCGCCAATCTAGTCCACTGGGTTCAATTGTTTTACCCCAGTGGTCTCTCTTATTTTCTTGTAATTTCCTACAAGATTGGCCTATTGTAGCCTCTTAGTAATACCCGCTCACTACCCACCAGCTGCCTTATCGATTGGATTTTACATGTCTCCATGCAGAAAACTCGACGCCCTCAGCTATAACGACATGAATCACAGCACATGCTGTACTCAAAAATAGACTCTCCAGATCGAAATTATCGAAAACTATCTGTTTGTTTTACAAGTGATTTTTACGTGCTAACGCAGCGGCTTTCACAATGCAGTAGAGTACACAATATATACTAACAGTAAGTTCTATACCTTGGACATAGTAAAGACAGTGATAGAATGTCACAAGTATTTACGAATAACGATAGTCTTTAGCAAACACAAGACACTGTTTAAAAGACAATAAGCTTACCTCAGCGGCTTCAGGCAGTGGCATACAATCGTCGACTTAATGCGAACACTTGGTATTCCAACACTGGAAACCACAATGAGAACCAATGCAATTCGACAAACGATCTATAATGTTCAAAGTAACAACAGTCTAATTTGGTATCCTACTACGCTGCAAATCCCCAGAAAGACACAGCCACATGAACCAATTAACGGCCACAGGCAACATGACGCCGTATACGCCTTGCGCCGTGCAATGCCATGTTATGTTGCAGTATCCATACCATACGCGCATCCTCGGAGAGTGCCGCCCAAATGCATCGTTCCAACACATCATGCCATGACTTGTGACAGAGCCACCTCCATGCTTCTCTTTTACTGTTCACGTCTTCCGCATTTCAGGGTCGCGCCTATTTCGCGGAGCCATTCTGACCCTTTTCCTTGTTCTTCTTAAACTTTTGAATCTCCTGCTCCACAGCCTGGTCTATCCGACGCTTCAACTCAGGGCGGTAGCCGAGCTTGAAGAGAATCTCAAACCAGACAAAGAAAGGAGCCAGAAAGATGGCTTGCACGAGGTTGTCTAGCAAGGCAGGCGCTCTTCCTTCGAACTTTCCGTGTCCGATAAACTGCGCAATCCAGCATGCAATGTTGATCGCGCCTGCCCATGAGTTGGCGGTCGCGCCATACGTGGATGTAAAGTGGTTCATATACGCAGTCCCACCGATGAGGATGGGCGCAACCAGGGCACCTGCGACAGGCTCCATCAGGATGTACAAGGTCGAGTATAGTACGGCGCCGGCGGTGCCGACGTTAAGCGGGAGGTTAGGTACCGAAAGCCATGTGGGCAGCGGAACGGCCGGCGTGTTGGTGAGCTGCGCTCTGGTCAGTAAGGTGTCGTCATGATGTTCAGGAGGCCTACGAGCAAGAAGGACGTCAACAGGATTGGGGGCACGCAGAGCACATGTATGCCAACGTTGACCTAAGGGCTGCATTAGCTGACATGTGAAGACAGCGGCATGGCGGCATGGCGGCATGGCAGAAGCTACCTTGTTGTGGTGGTATGCCCCGTACTGCACTCACGTTAGCCAGATGCAGACATGTGCTGGAGAATGACGTACAAAGACAAGTTGTTTCTCCAGATTCAGAGACATGGTGCCGGATGCGGAACTGGGGGCGCGTGTTGCAGTGGGAAGGGGGCCGTCAAGGGACTAAATCATGTCTTGGGGATCGAGGATGGATGGGCTCGACGAGTTGCGGGGAATCAGGGCGCCGTCCGTGGAAGCCCGAGGAAATGCGGATAGCGCAGAGTAAGTGGTATCACGACATGGGGTGTGGGGGTGCGCAAGCTGGCAGGTGGGAGTAGGTCACTGCTTTGGGCCTTAGCGAGTGATTTTCCGCGCCGAGAGCTCGGGAGCCCTGCAGCCTCTGGAGCTCCGGGCCCAGGTCGCATCACTCGACACTTCTTCCAGCCTCCGTCCACTACTCCGACTCTGCGACCACTGTATCATCCGGCTACCACGAGCGGCGCGAACACGTTGGGACTGGTGCGCATGGGCTGCTGGGTATAAAAGAGACTCGGGTTGGCTTGCAAGCCCACGGCGCGTCTTGCTGAAACGCGTGCTGGCTACGTTATTACACGGCCGACTCTTCGCTGGGCCCGCCAGAATACAGACAATAGAGTCGCATAGTGTCCACGAGCGTCGTCTGGCTACCCTGTTCTTCTGCCGCTATCTACCGTTCCACCGTGCCACTCCGTCTCCCTCCATCAAGCCAGTCGCATAACGCGCAACATGTTTTTTCTCAAAGAACTCGAAAAGACGATCCAGCTGCATCCGTCATACTTTGGTCCTCTGATTCGCCAGCACATCCACCGCGAACTGCTGCAAAAAGAGGAGGGCTCGAGCACGGGAAAGTACACCATAGTGTGTATCCTGGATTCGTTCGACATCTCCGATGGCAAAGTCATGCCAGGCTCCGGCTCCGCCGAGTACGTTGTACACTACAAGGCGGTCGTATGGAGGCCGTACAAGGGTGAGGTGGTATGTGCAAACTGTAGGACGCAACAGCAGAAGGCGCAGCTAACCAGGTCAAGATGGACGGCATTGTCACCTCAGTACTCCGCACAGGTTTCTTTGTAGATTGTGGCTCTTTGCAGGCATTCGTAGGACGCAGTGTAAATCTCTCCACCTCTATGCCTCTATGCATTCACTGACAGGAAACAGATGATTCCCGCTGAAATCAAGTTCGACGCAAACGCAACGCCACCACAATGGACCGACGACGGAGAGCAGGTGATTGAAAAGGGCACCAACATTCGCATCAAGATCAAGGGTCTGAGATCCGAGGTAGACAAGATGTACGCTGTGGGCACAATGAAGGAGGTAAGAACATCCAGAGCCAACCCAATGATAACAATTAATCTGAACTCTAGGACTACCTTGGACCCCTGCCGTCTTAGACTGGCAACGAAACAAGCGTTGTTGGCGGGCTCGATGAGTCCGACGGAAGCTCAGCACCACTACCCAGGCCTCCTTCCCCAGTCAGGGTTACTGCCATACCCATTTCTTCTTCTGAGGATCCTTTCGAAATTCCTTTTTCAAGTGCCCTGTCCACCTTAGATTTAAGCAAAATACTGGTCGTGTCAATGCAAAACAGCGGCCGGAGCATTACTTCACAAATTGACCATGAGTTATGAAGCGACACAGCTTCCAGGGCTCCGCTTGGTTACCATTGCAGGCAGGGAACAAATGAGGCCCAAAGTGGCAGTGGCAGGAATAGGCTGTAACCATATTGTTCCAACTAAATCCCAATTTGGACTTGAATAGAATTTATTACATGGTTTCTTTGTGTAGCCTTGATGTTCCCCCTTGCATCAGAAGCTTGGGACGTTTCGGCCAACACCAGTGCCAATGCTCACACCTCCGCGTGAACTCCGCACTCTCCGCGTAACCTGCAACCCCCTACTACGTGTCCTTGCCGCGCCATAATTCATACAAGTGGTCACTCGTTACTTGCGTCGCTCCGTGATAAACATGCGCTGATTTAACTGGTGGCATTTTCCCCATTTTATCCAATACATCAAAATGCCGCGACCACGCGACGCCCTCAAGGAGGAGGAAGCGGAGCTCCTAACCAAAGACGAGCGATCCGCGCGCACCTCAGAAGACGAGTCCGAAGGTTCCATATCGACCATCTCCACCACTTCGCTCGTTCTCGAACACATCAACAACCCAGCAATCAACGGTGCATCGCTCTCAAAGCGTGGAGAGAAGTACACGGATAACGATGAAGATGCAGGTCGCTCGCAGGAGCAGTTCGACATCGAGGGCGCGCAATACCGTGCACCTGCTGCAGTAGACAAGAAGACACGGAGATGGCTATGGATTATAGGCACAGCATGCGTGGCTGGATGGACGCTTGCGCTGGTGTTCTTTCTTATGAACGGCACCTACAAGCACGTCTCGAGCCGGCCACACGACCCCCTTGCGAGCTCCACAAAGGGTTCAGGAAAGAAGATCACCATGGAAGATGTCATGGAGGGTCGGTTCTACGCCGAACAGCAGAGAATCGAGTGGATAGCGGGTCCACAGGGCGAAGACGGCTTGTTGCTTGAGAAGAACATTGGGGCGGGTGACTACTTGGTAGTAGAGGATATCAGAAACAAGGGTGATAACAAGGACTCAAAGACCAAGACTACACTTATGAAGGAGAAAAGCTTCAAGGTGGGCGACTCATATATCTATCCCAGCAATGAATGGCCCAGCAAGGATTTTAAAAAGGTGCTTCTCATATCGAATTACGAGAAGAATTGGCGACACTCGGGTACTGGAAAGTATTGGATATTCGATGTGGCAACACAGACTGGCGAGCCTCTTGATCCAGCCAACCCAGACGGCGCAATCCAGCTGGCTTCCTTGTCGCCACAGTCGGATGCAGTCGTGTTTACAAGAGACAACAACATGTTCCTGCGCAAGCTAGACTCCAAGGAAGCCATCCAAATCACAACGGATGGTGGAAGTCAGCTGTTCTACGGCGTGCCTGACTGGGTATACGAAGAGGAGGTTTTCCAGGGGAACAGTGCAACTTGGTGGTCTGAAGACGGCAAGTACATTGCCTTTTTGCGCACAGATGAGTCCATGGTTCCGACATACCCGGTGCAGTACTTTATATCGCGGCCTAGCGGGGAAAAGCCCAAGTCGGGCGAGGAAAACTACCCCGAAGTTCGTAACATCAAATACCCCAAGGCCGGTGCGCCAAACCCGGTCGTATCGCTGCAATTCTATGATGTCGAAAAGGGCGAGGTATTCAGTGTCAAGATTGAGGACGACTTTAAGGATGAAAACCGCTTGATTACTGAGATTATCTGGGCGGGAAAGACGAAGCAAGTACTCGTCCGAGAAACAAACCGTGAGAGCGACACCCTAAAGCTTGTGCTGATGGACGTTGAAAAGCGTACGGGAAAGACCATCAGGACGGAAAATGTTGCGGAACTGGACGGTGGATGGTTCGAGGTGTCACAGAAGACCACATTTGTACCAGCGGACCCTCAAAACGGCCGCCAACACGATGGCTATATCGACACCGTCATTCACGAGGGATATGACCACATCGGATACTTTTCACCCTTGGATAGCGACAAGCCTGTGTTGCTCACCCAGGGCCAGTGGGAGGTTGTCGAGGCGCCGTCCCGAGTGGACTTGAAGAACAATCGTGTCTACTACATTTCCACCGAGAAAGGTTCCACGGAACGTCACCCCTACTCTGTCTACCTGAACGGCACCGGAAAGAGCGAGCTATTGGGGGATGGTGGCTCAGGATACTACGATGCATCCTTTTCGGCTGGTGGTGCGTATGCCCTAGTGAGCTACATGGGACCTGGCATCCCATGGCAGAAGATTATCAGCACGCCTGCGAACAAGGAAAAGTACGAAAAGGTGGTTGAAGAAAACAAGAGACTGGATAGCTTTGTACGCCAGCGCGAGCTGCCAATTCTCAACTACCAAACCGTTGATGTGGACGGCTTCACACTGAACGTTCTCGAACGCCGCCCGCCGCATTTCAGCGAGAAGAAGAAGTACCCGGTACTGTTCTACCAGTACAGCGGTCCAGGCTCTCAGGAAGTGCACAAAAAGTTCCATGTCGATTTCCAATCGTATATTGCTGCCAGTCTCGGATACATTGTCGTCACTGTGGATGGACGCGGCACGGGTTTCCTCGGTCGCAAGCTACGCTGCATCACCAGAGGCAACATTGGATACTACGAGGCGCACGACCAGATTGCAGTGGCCAAGATTTGGGCAAGCAAGAAGTATGTTGATGCTGACAGAATAGCCATTTGGGGTTGGAGTTACGGTGGTTTCAACACGCTGAAAACGCTTGAGCAAGACGGTGGAGAGACGTTCAAGTACGGCATGGCGGTTGCACCCGTCACAGACTGGCACTTCTACGACTCCATTTACACGGAGCGTTACATGCACACGCCGCAGAACAACCCGACGGGCTACGAAAACTCAACCATCACCGATGTTGCATCACTCGCGAAGAATGTTCGATTCCTCGTCATGCACGGTGTTGCCGACGACAACGTGCACATGCAGAACACGCTCACTCTACTTGATCGACTGGACCTGGCAGGCATCGAGAACTACGACGTCCACGTGTTCCCTGATTCGGATCACAGCATCTACTTTCACAATGCCAACAGAATCGTTTATGACAGTAAGAGCACCCTTTCGAGCGGATAGAGTTTCATGCTGACAAACATACAGAGCTCAGGTGGTGGCTTATCAATGCTTTCAATGGCGAATGGGAGAAGATACAAAAGGCTAGCCCCAAGGCGCAAATTGATGCTCGACTCAATGAACGGTCGATAGTGCGGTAGTGTTTTGATGTATTAGTAATACGCGCTTGTTTGTTTTTGGCGCATGGAATCTTTAGATGCTGTACATAGTATTAGTTATTGCGTAATGCGAGTTCTGCTTCAGTCGAGATGACCAAACTTTGTTGGAGAGTGGATTGAGTTCCACGCTGTGCCTGCAAGCTCATGGTCTAGCACGCTCTGATTTGTCACACCAAAACACTATTGCACCATGGCCATGGCGAAGCTGAATTCGCACAACTACTGTAATACTAGTTCGCAAGCTTCATTTCCCCCCACGTTTATGTCAGCACGAAAGCAGTCTTTACGTTCGATTAAGCTCCAGACCAAGACGACCCGTTCCCCTCCCTGCCAACCCCACTTTTGGGTATTAGGCAGTTTAGATAAAAGCGGGCAGTACTGAACATGACACCAACCTTGCATGGCATATGCCGCTACATTCACAGCATCTTTTGAACTTGTCAACCTCAAACACACACAGGAAACGCGCTAAACTACACAAATATGGCGTATTCCCCCAGTGACCTCGCAGTCTGCGAGACATGCGGAACCCAATACGACGTTCCTCTCTCACAGCATCCAGAAACATGCCGCATCTGCGATGTACGTCATGTCATGCCTCACTACACCATGAACAAAGCCGTCCCCGCAATCTAACACGTGATCAACGCAGGACCCGCGCCAATACGTGCCGGCGTCCGGCCAAACCTGGACGAGCCTCGCAGCGTGTCAATCAGTTCAGAAAAACGTATTTGAAACCGATGCTCACGACACGCGCATCCACTACATTTCCACGCGGGCACTCACGCCCTCGGAACTGCCACCAGGCCTCGCAGACTCCAGCACCACGCGCAAGCAGCTCGGCATCGGGCAGCGCGCGATCCTGCTGCAGACGGAAAAAGGCAATGTTCTCTGGGACTGCATAGCGTTTCTAGACGGTGAAACGATAGATTTTGTAAAGAGCAAGGGCGGCCTCAGCGCCATCGTAATTAGCCATCCGCATTTCTACACGACGCATCTGGAGTGGGCGGACGTCTTCGCGTGTCCGGTGTATGTGTGTGGCGAGGATGAGGAATGGCTGAATCGCGAGGATAAGAGCGGGAAAAGGAAATTGGTAGCTGGGGTGACGCCGATTCAAGAGGTGCAGGGCTGCGTGACCATGGTGCAGTGTGGAGGCCATTTCGAGGGGAGTAGTGTGGCGGTTTGGGAGGGAAAAATGTTTATTGCGGATACGTTTATGACTGTGCCTGTATGTCTTTTTTCCTGTCTCTCTCTCTCTCTCTCTCTCTTTGTTCATATCTCCTCTCCTTTTCACAACCCCCCTTCCCGACATTCCATGGACTGAAAAGAAAAAGAAAAAAATACTAACATTTCACCAGTCAGGCTTCAACAACGCCCACCGCATCCCAGATACAACATCCTACTCCTTCATGTGGGCCTACCCCAACATGATCCCCCTGACTCCCGCCGCCATCCACGGCATCTGGAAGGCCATCAAGCCCTTCGAGTTCGACAGTACCTATGGCGGGTTTTCAGGCCAGAATCTCAGTCGCAAGGATCTCAAGGCGCAGGTGCTGGAGAGTATGAAGATTTTTCTCAGGAGAGGTGGACATACCAGCGTTCCGCTTTTCGAGGAGACTGTGTAGCAAGCGGGCATACGTCAGATTTGGGCGCGGGAAGAGGAGGGGAGAAATGTATTTTTTTTAAACAGAGGTATAGATAGAGAGAGAGAGAGAGGACGCGGATATTGAGAGTCGCAGAAAAGCTCGGCGTGGAGGGTTGTATGTATGTATGTTTTGAAGCTATTCAAGAGAGAAAGAGACACACAATCTCTACGTACTTATGCATTTTGTCTTGCGAAACGGATAACTACTTAGCAAGAAGTATGTGATTGATTTGGAAAACACACACACAAGTATAGACTACGTACGTACGTACGCCAAGACTGCATTGATTTCTCACATGGCAACATCCGTCGTTGTATCCACGGCGAAGCTGGCGCAGTATCGAAATAGCACACACGCACGCCGTGCTAAGCATTACAAACATGGACGTTTCATGCGGCTTGGCTCAAGGCGCTGAGGCTCGGCGACTACGTATGCAACTTGTATGCAAGGGATAGATGGGAATGTAGCACAAGTGCAAAGAAGCCATGGTAACGTCTGTCGAATAGCCCCCACCCTAAACACCCCCTTCCAATACGGTGTCAGCAGCCCTCTTTCCACACAAGCCCCTTTGTTGGGGGGGGTGCTACGGACTTTGAGTAAGAGCGGATAATGAGACTTGCAGCTTGCGGATAATGAGACTTGGTGTGTGGGGAAAAAAAGCTTGACAGGCTCAGCCTCATATGTCCGAGTATGGGTTCTTTGTTTACAAAAATATCGCGGGGTCATGGATATCCGGTAGTTGGCAGCAACGTGACCGGTAGAGTGATGTAGACAAAGAAAAAGAATCGGTTAGTAAATTTGAACTGTTATTCCCATGTCGAGTTTGTATATATGCAATCAACACATTTCGCCGTCCAAAAAGTCATTGCACCATGGCGCATATTGCCGAAGACTATTACGACATGCCTGTCGAGTTGCTGCCTTCTGCAAACTTTGCAGGCAGACCGACGAGCGATATCGACATGCTTCCTGCACTATGGACTCTGGCGGCATACTCGTTTTTCGAAAAAGACCAAGTGGATACGGAGATATCGCCGCGACTACAAAATTCTACAGCCCCGCAGCCGAAACCAGCGGTAGTAGAAGCGCCGTGTACTACGATTACAGTGCCCCTCACCGAAGAAATGAGGTCATCAAAGAGTCCGAGCAGCGGTGTAAAAGCTTTGGACCGACGGCGATTGCGGAAGAAGGCGCAGACTCCATCTCCGGGCGGCATCGATGCGCGATCTTCACCGCCGTTTAGCCCAGGTCGAGCAGGTGGTGCGAGACAGGGACAGTCGAATACGACCAGAGGGACGCGGAGCAAGCCGAAGGACCAAGTCGAAAGCGCTGTGGTGACGAGGCAATGGACTCGGGATGCCAGATTAGGACCCCAAAGGGCATTACCGGAACCACCACGAGCACAGTGCGGGGAAGCAATTTCAGTTTGTGCAAAGCAGAGACACAGCTCTCGCACGCATCAAACGACGCGCGTTCTTCAAAGGCGGGCAGAGGCGCCACTCGAGATGCTCGACACGGCCTTGTCAGAAGGCAAAGGGAGCAGCAGCAGCGCGCCGCCATCGCCAAGCTCCATGGTATCAACACCGCAGGAGCTGTACGCAATTGGCGGCGAAGAGGCCATGGCGAATGAAACAGCGGGCAGTGCACAGTTGTGTGGCGCACGGAGCGCGAACGAGGCAGCTAAAATTACGTTGGCCCAGACATGCTCACCCTCATCGCGATCCAAGTCGGGATGGGGTAATGCACTTGGGCCAAAGCAGCCTCGGGGCGACGTTGACGTGGCTGACGGGCGGAGGATATATTTGCCGGGCGCGATGATGCTTGCAGCGTGTCCAGGCGGGCAGCGCAGAGACTCTGTCGCAACGACGCCTGATGCAGCGGTGTTTGACACGGGTTTAGGGCCGCTGGAGACGCGCTATTCAGATCTGGTGGGGCTCGATGGCATTGTCACATTTTTCGAAGACTTTGGCGTCGTGGCGGAGGCTACCGAAGCTACGCTGGATAGGTACTGGCTGCCCAAGTGCCGAGGCCGGCGGCGGCACAGCAGCGACACTGACAGGCGCCCAGCAGGCGTATCAAGTGTCGAGGGCCATGATGACGAGGAGTCACAGCGAGAGGCAGCGACCCAGAGCCATTGGATAGAGCGTCGCGCGTCCACGCTGTCACTGTCGACGCCGTCCGCGTCATGGCCGGGCGCTGCTGTCCAGCGAAGAGCGAAACGTAAGCGGAGCAGGCTGAGGGACCTGCTGTCACCAGGTCTGCCTGGCACCGGCTATGGCAAGACCCCTGCGAACTGGGAACACCAGGCAAGCGCATAGTTGGTAGTAACGTCCGACGAGGTCGAATGGCACCTTCAAATTAAACTCTGTAAAATGATGATGCGGCGCGTGTGAGTGGCGCCCATTGTCTTGGGGGGGTTCTTGGGGGCCGGTGGGCGAGTCGTTTGGAGTCGCAGTTTGCAACCCACGGGCGTGGTGGTTTACTGATTTTGAAAGGCGATCACAGAGTCTGGGCCCATGGTTTCGCGCATGGCTAACGACATGGAGGGCGTCGATGGGCGATCCGCCGTTTCCGCGATTCGCAGGCCCTGGGCGCATGACGACGGCGTGGTAGGCTGGCGCTGTCGCATCGGGCAGAAGAGCGACGTCAGGGACTGCCACTGACGGCACTAGGTGCCTGATGCGACGGCATGCATGAGATGCGCTGGACCTTTGGGCGGGCGCGGGCTGGCGAGAGGATACGGGGGATGGACGGGGGGTGGATGGGGGTGGACGGGGGGAGAGAGAGAGAGTGTGTGTGTGTGTGTGCAGCAGCAAAAGCGAGGCAGCAAATGAAGGCGGCGGGTGCATCGATCCGGCCAATCAGCGGCGGGCGGGCGCGGCTGGGCAGGGCCCACGATCGGCAGCTGCGACTGCCGCTTTGGGCGAGGGCGCCCTGGTCGCTCCTGCCCACCGCTCAGCGCGGGCCGCAGGCGTCAGACGCTCTTCGCAGCTCCGATGCGAGCCAGCGCATCGCTCGTCCCCCATGTGCTTGTGCTGCTTTCCCGCCATGCCAATAAAAAGCATCGTGTCGCCCCCCCTTCGCTTCCCGCTTGTTTTCGCTCACCTACTGATCGCCCATAAACCCGCACCCCCCCCCGCCATCATCATCGCCATCACCATCACCATCGCCATCACCGCCATCACCATCACCCCAATCCCTCGCACCAGCCCACCTGCTATCCACACTCCAAGCTCAATTGTAAGGCCCGTCGACTGTGTCTTGCTAGCGCCGCCTGTGCTGATCTCGCCGCTGCAGGCAACCCCATCAGCCTTGCCAAAACAACCTTGGACAAACCCGAAGACGATCCGCAACGCAAAGTCCAACTACCATGGCCGCGACCTTGTCCAGTAGTAGTAGTAGCAGTAGTAGTAATAGCTACGTCGACTTCCTCGAGCAGGCCAAGCGCAACTTCTGGATGAGCAACGCACACCTCACCGAAGAAGAGCGAAGCCACGCCTGGCTGCAGCTCGTGTGCCAGCCCCCGCAGGCCTCCATGACCGACCAAATACCGCGCTCAATGCCCTGTCCCTCATCAGACCTGACGCACCTCTCAGTATGGATATTGTTTTGGTCTCTGCGCCTCTGCCCTCTGCTCTAACGCCCTCTCTAGATGTCCACGTTCAACTCGGCGCCCGTCATGGACCGCTCAGACTCGGCCATGACCGACAACATGCTCGACGCCGCCACGGGCGCCTACCACGACTACGCCCTCTACTCGGACGCGTCGATGCACCGGCAGCCCGCCCTGCACTCGCTGTCCGAGGCGGCCGAGTACAGCGTCGACGATTACGTCAGCGCGTGCATGCAGCCCGACGGCACCTCTTCCCTCCCCTACCCCCAGCACTCACAGCAGCTGCAACTGACACCCACCCCGCAGTGGAGCTCATCGCCCGATGTCTCTTCACCCGGCAGCCCGTCAACGGCCCTGATGACGCCTGTTACTCAGTCAAGTAACATGAGTCGCCAGGGCAGTTACAACGCCCAGCTCTTTGATCAAGTTTCCATGTTGCGCGTCCAGTCTGACTCTTCCTGTATCCTCCCCATCCTCTGCGAGGATGGGCCTTTTCCTTATTCCTTTGATGTTGAATCCAAGCCCATCAGCGAGTCCGCTGGTGTTTCTCATATTCTCAACTTCACTGGCTCCTCCAGTGAAGGTTTCCTTTCGTCTTGCTCTGTTTCTGCTTCTGTTTCTGCTTCTTCGTCTCTCGCCGCAAGTGCACCTGCACTTGCCTCTCCCGACACAACCCTCAGCACCAACATCGACCAGTCGTACCTGGCGGAGGATATGCGGAGGTCGACTTCAGCCGCGTCGAGCGTGGGTAACTTGAGCGAGGTGTCCGCCTCGTCCTCGACGCACTCACGCCACTCGCAACGCGAGCGCGAAATCATCGCACAAGCTGCATCGCGCAAGATTGCCCCAAAGGCAGTCGGCAACCATGCTGAGACCACGTCTGCGTCATCCAATGCTCAGATGACAAAGATACGGTCGGAAGATGGCTCGTCCAAAACGGTTGGTGTGATAGCTAAAACACCCTATGTGCGGCCTCAGCACCCCAAGATCAAGTGTAACTATTGCAACGAGCGACCCGATGGGTTCCGTGGCACCCATGAACTCGACCGTCACATTGCTCGTGCCCATGCCTCGCGCAGGAAGGGCTACATTTGCATCGACTCGTCGCCGGACCAAAAGTTTCTCGCAAACTGTAAGCACTGCCGCAACAAGAAGGTATACGGCGCCTACTACAATGCTGCCGCCCATCTGCGCCGTGCGCACTTCCACCCCCGCAAGAGGGGCCGGAAGGGCCAAAACGGCGAGAAGCGCGGCGGCATTGGTGGTGGCGACCATCCTCCTATGGAGTACCTTAAGCAAAACTGGATTCAGGAGGTCGAGGTCGACAACAAGCCCGCTCCGCAATCGCCCGACAGCAACTCGGACAATGACGCGCCTGAGCCCATTGACACCAAGCCCTCGTTCGACTTCAGCACCCCTGCTGTCTCCGTCGCCCCTACCGCCGCCGCCGCCACCGTCGCCGCCACGCCCGCTGTTGTCGCGCAATACCCTGTATCACAGCCCATGTCCATGCCCATGATCAGCCAAGTCCCTGTTGACCCAAGCCAGTTCATGGACTATGGTCTGACTATGCATGCAAGTGAACCCATGGTGTTCGACAACACGGCCTTTTTCGACCCCAACCTGGCTGCTGCCACCGATCTCAGTAACTTTCAGTTTGACGCCTACATGGGTTCTTAGGTGGGATCCTATTCTCATTTTTTCTACTTTTCGTCTTTCGTCTTCGCCTCGGCGATACCTTTTCTTTCGTTTCTTTTCCCACAAAGTACACACGTATGAGGCATGTTGATGTACATAATGCCTGTTTCCTTCTTGTCTTTCTTCTTCCTTCTCGTTGATCTCTATTTTAAGGGTTATTGTTTTTTTTCCTTTTCCTTTGGCGTTTCTGATGACTGTGACCACCAGTCTCTCGGCTTCTATGGAGCGAGAACTGCGGTAGGTCCGCATCCATTGGCGTTTTTTTGTCTCTTAATGTTTTGCTATACGAAAGCCGTCAATGTGCGGGGCAGCCCTCGCTCGTCTTTTTTTTGCTGCTTTTATCATTTATTTCGAAGCGTTTTTTTTTCTTCAATTTTTCTTATAAGCACACACTGTTGTGGGATGCAAGAAAGAGAAGCCTGGTTGTTTGTGTGAGGAGAAGACAGACATATATCATGTGCTAGATACATAGATCCGCATCGCGGTTTGCACGCCGTGTATAGCAGCGTGCAAATACCCCCCATGGCGGCGGGGGGGTTTTTGCTTGGATGAGATGAGAAATAAGAAAATTTCAATGTTAAAACTTGCCGTGGTGATATGCTGTGATGATTCAACTGTGGATATATCACTGCATGACTCAATGTTCAGTAATTCTGTTCATGGGGTTTGTATCGCTGCCCCCTGGCTCGAATTTACTTGGCCCCTTTTCACGTTGTCCTTGTCGTTTGATCATGTGGCCACTTCCACGGTTGATTGGATTGGGTGAAGAGTGTGTGTTACTAGCTCTCTCATGTGTATCTTTGAACTTCTTTCTCTTGTAATGTTGCGTGAGAGCAGTAGAAATGGTTTTTTTCTTCACTGCATACACCCCAAGCAATCTATGTATCTACTCTACCATATCATCAACACTACAAATATAAACAAACACATGAAACATGATTCAAAAAGTACATTCATTCCACTGATACATTCACACTACTACAAAGTCATCTCGTCACCATGTCGCGAGTCTACAACCAACGAACCCACTCATCAGATACATCAGTGGCCACGACACAAAAACCAACCCAACCCACATCTCCCTTTCCACCAGGCAGACCTCACACTTCAATAGCTAGAGTTAGGATAATTACCACCTCCTTGCGTAGAATTATCCACTGGGTTGGCCGGACCCCCCGTTTGACCCAGCGCGCCTCCAGCAGCGACAGCCTCGCCTTTCGACGCCTTGATGGCTTCTCGTGCTTCGGTCTGCTCTGCTTTTTTCCTGTTCGTGTGTGTTAGACAAGAACATACGCCTTTATTCCAACAAGAAGAGAGGAAGAAAAGAAGTTGAGGGGGAGAAAATTAACGGGTACGTCAAACTCACCGGTCCAAATCACTTTCCAGTCCAGGCTGACTTCCTCCGCCGCCCGTACCATGGCCTCCTTTCGCCACGGCATCCGCAACCCGTCCTTCGCCCGGCGCAGCCATTTGCTGTGCATCGAGTTCGCGATGGCGACCTACATCCTCTTCACTGAGTCCTTTTCGCTCCTCGCCGGCTGGAGCCCCGTGCACGCCTTTTCCTTCTTCGAACTTTGCGTTGCGCAGCCCGTCGGCGTCGGATGCTTGTTTCGTGGGCACGCGCTGCGCGGTGCTGGCGCTGTTGTCGGCTGCGTTGAATTCCGTTTGCGTTTGCTCCTTGGGGTCTTTTTGCGCGGGGTTGCCGGGGGATGTGTATGCTTGCGATGTGGAGGGCTGCGAGGGGCCTTTGGGGTCGAGCGCTGCCATGGTGTGTCTGTTGCTATGTTTACAGTGGTTGGAGTGTGGAGATTGGAAGGTTGTAACTTTTGGAAAGGCCAAAAAATCGGATTTGGGGGATTTGGATTTGCAAGTTTCTGGGGGGTTGGAACAAGTAGGAGGACGAGAGAAGAGGAATTGCGCGGTTGGAAAGATGTACTACGGGTTGTTTGGTTGCTTCGTCGTTGCTATGACGTCTGCGGGGCGGATCCCGTCATTCATTCTTCGCCCCCCCCCCCCACATCAATGCCATGCCTAGGTAGGTCATGTGAGGACGCGGGAGAGTGATGCTCTGGCGTCGTCCTTTTAGTCGGCGTTTATAGTAATTTGGTATCGCGTGGGTGGGCGGATTGCGGTATCGGGTTGCAAGACTGATATGTTAGAGCGACCATAGCCATAACATACGTCATGGGCTTACGCATTATATTTGGATTATTTGTTGTTGTTCAATGGCTAGTATTGAACTTTTAAGCAGAAATCTTTCATCAAAACTCGTCAATTTTCTATCAGATATAGGGGTAACACGTCGCGAGAAACCGATTTACGCCACCTCTAATGTGTGCAGCCCTCTCGTTGAGGTGCTAGAGGGGGTATTGTCGGTATTCTTGCGACGTGTTCGAAATGCGAAAATCTTCGAGAACGCACAGACCGCCCCGATGACTAATAGGGAGACTACCAAACGAAACCAAAAACAATTAAAAACACCAAATAAAACAACAAAAATCAAAAATCCTATATCTAAACGCCGAGACAGCCTGATCCCGCTGTGGCACCATATCCAACCGCCAGGACAGTCTTTGCCTACTGTGGCACAAAATTCAAAAACGCTATAACAGT